CAAAGTTTTTTTTAAAGGAAGATACCTTCCTGTAGTGGATGAGGGAATCAAGGGTATCCATATGGGATCCTGCAGGACGATATGCAGAATGCTGTTAAGGACAATGTGCTTCAGTCCAGCTTCTGAGACTAGGAGGAAGGTTTACAGATCTTGGTGAAATGAGGCAGATATTTATTTAACCATTACAAATCTGTTGCTGACCCACTGTTGCCATCCCTTTCTCATGTGAACGTGCACTCAGAATTTTGTGTCTGCATGCAGAAAGCTTGTGTCTGCTAGTTTCCATTTGATAGCTTGCAAATTTTGCAATGATAAGCACAGTGTTAACCACCTGAATGATATGCAGAGTAGCAAACTGGTTTTTTAGCAGTTCAAGCTGCCCCTGCTGGTTCTTGCACTACAAAGCATTGCACAGTTTTGTTTAACTTCTAGCTCTGTTGCATTTGCCTATTACCTGTTATAGCAAGAGGTCAGGGTTTGATGGTTTTCTTGTGAGAAGGATTGTCCTGCTTTGAGTAACACCATACGTGAAATTCTGGCATTTGTATTTTTGTTCTTTTTTTTAATCCCTTTGCGCACAAGACTCCTCTTTCTGTTCTATTCCCAGCTCTTTTAGTTTCAAACTGCTGGAAATTTTTTCTGTGGCAAGTTAGAAATATAGGTTGTTTCCAGGCAGCACACATTTTATTCTTGAGACTTTGGCACTGCAACACTTTTAACATTGCATCAGGTTTTTATTTTTTAATTTTTTTTTAATAGATCAAAGTTGGGGATTGGAGAAAGCTTTGCGGAGTGAAGTTCTTTACATGTAGAGAACATGGGATAAATTCAGACAACTAGATCAGAGAAGCTGGTTTCACTTCCTGTCACGCAGTTTCCAAAATGCTTGACTATGCATAGAAGTGGGCTATCTTCTTAAAATAGTTCTAGCTTTAAAACAGACATCGTTGTGCATGCAGATGAAAGGTCTTTCTGACTGCATGTCTGTCCATGCAGCTGTTGTGAGTATTGTAGCAGGAGGTGAAGAGCTGGCGCTGGTACTGCTCTGCTCAGCCCCTCTCCCTTCGCACGCAGCACATGCTACTGTACATCAGCACTGGAAGGAAGAGGACTGTGGTGCTGTTGTAAAAGTGGGTTCGTCATTACCAGTTTTATGTTTGAAAACGAGTACTGTATCAAAGCAAACTTTTTGAATCTGGCCTTTTGAAAGCATGCCAGGAGGTTGCAGCTGGGATGTCTGACATGGATCCTAAGGTGGTGGAGTACTAATGTACATTTAGTGAGGTTTGGTTGTGGCTCAGTGGGTTCTTTCCTCTAATCTACACTGATTTATTGTGCAAAACAAATACCTCTCAGCTCACTCAGCATCATATCTTGATTTCTAAGTTCTTGTTTTTTTCCTTTTTTTTAGGTTAGTATTTTTTTGTATCATCAGTATAGATTTATATTACAGTAGTTATACATGTCCCCTTTACATTTTTTCCCCATCACCATAGCTTATAAAGCCAGGGTTAGGGGATGTACTTACTGATCATTTGGGTAAGGTGTAAGGAGGGAGAATAAAAGGAAAGCAGTCTGATGCATTACTTTCTCCATCCGGTCACTAGTGGAATGAGTTCATTTCTGACAGTACCTAAAGAAGGAAACAGTGTTGTAGACATTGTGGTGTAAGAGTACCAAGAGGGTAAGATTTATACAGGAAAGTGATATACTCCATTAAAGCAATTAGTAGAATTAGAAAATACAGACAACCTTTTTTGAGCACTTCTGGAGTGGTGTTTCCAGTAGGATGCATATATTTTAGCACAGGTGCATGTTAATTACAGCATACTGGGTTTGGTTTCTTAAAGGATTCTTTTAGCATTTTTCAATATTTCTCATCCTGAAATCTCAAGCCATTGTGTGGATAATGAAGTAATACTGAACTGAAACAACAAGTGGCAAATATGTGTGACTTCTTGTGAGGTGCTTCCGGATCATGGCGTCTTTCCCATAGTGGGACTGGAAGGTCTGAATTGTCCACTTGTATGTTGCAGAAACCAGCATAAATGTAGAGAAGCTTCACACACATCTACCAGTCTGCCAATATTCTGCATAATATGTTGTAAATGTGAAGAAAACATACCTTTGGGATATCATCTCTGTTTATTTCCAGTTTTCTATTTTAACCTTATGTTTTTTCAAATTGAAATAGCTTTTTTTTACAGATCCTTTTATTACAGTAACTCCTGAAATATGTTCTTGTCCCATCAGTACACACTGTAGGGTGACCAATATCTCGAAAATACCGAAGACTATTAGAGAGTAATGTCTTTAGGATATCAGAATTTAGAAACACTGGCACAAGAAAAATGTTGTGTTATCTTTGGCATTCAGTTTAAGCTGGTATTATGACACAGACAGGAAAATCTTGACTGCAGTGTTACTACCTTTTGCTGGAGTAGGGAGTTTCTTAATAAGAAAATGAATTACTTACTGTAATAAGAAAATTTAAATACAAATATTCTCTTGCCTTGTATGCAAACCAGCACTATAAAAGTGAATGTACCTTTAGCAAGGCTTTTCAAAGGAACAGATATATAAAATAACACCATTTGTTAAGCTGGTATTTGTAGCTGTTGCATGTGATATGTCTTTAAAATAAAGTTTTGCATGTATTCAGTGCCTTGAAAGAGATGAGGTCTGAGCACTGAACTCCTAAATTCTAACTGTAGCTTTGATGTTCTCCCTCCTAAAAACTGGAAGTTGATTTTTGTCTCAAATTTCTTATGCCTAAAGGATAGGGGAGATAACTTTGTCCTATCTTGTTATGTCGTTAAAGTTTATCAAGTGCTTTGAATACAACAAAACTGTATTTTAAATGCTAAGTATTGTCTGGCTTTTTGTACACAGTGTTGACAATTTTGGACTTGGTCTTCTGCTTCAGACTAAGCAGATAAAACGCATGGTGTCATCATATGTTGGAGAGAATGCAGAATTTGAACGCCAGTATTTAGCTGGCGAGCTTGAAGTTGAGCTTACACCTCAGGTAAGGAGCGTCTCTATGAGACTAGTGATTTCTTTTAATCTAAAATACTGCATAGAATAATGCTGAAGAGCTCTGATAAAGTTACTTTGCAGTCCAAATGTTTAGCTTGTGTGCAGATGTGCAGTGAAGACAGATGGCACTTGCTATGTTAGGACTGTGGGCTGTAGGCTGCAACTGGCCTGTTAAAAACTGACTGGTCATATTGTGTGGATTCCTTTTATGGTTTGTTACATTATATTTATTTCAAGTGTATATATATGTATATTTTATCG